CTGGCTGCCAGAAGGATGTCTGACTGCAAGCTTAGGCCTGATCCCCCGGGGAGTGGGCCTAAGTCGACAGGTGGACATCCCCCAAGGGGTCCTGGACTGTGAATGGATGCAGGCCAGGCTGAGGGACCCCCCCGAGTGCACAGATTTTTGTGCACCAGGCCTCTAGTTGGCATTATAAAAAGAGTAATATTCATCTCAACTTAAAATCCATATATATGCAAAATCCGCATTAGCGTTAGCTTAGCACTTCTAGTAATTATTTGAAACAAAAGTATTTATTAAGTATAAAACGTCCACCATCTGGAGAGTTTTCTGACTCCTAGACTGCCTCCCATTTCCTGTAGCTGCAGCTTTTCTTCTGAGTTTAGATCTGGGTCCAAGTCTCCCCCAGATAACAAGACAAGCACAGCTCCCTCAGAAGAAATGAAGTAAGATTTTAATTATTCTAATTACATGTTCAAGGTCTCTTGCATTCTCCCACATTCCTATAAAATATTATAAATACATCAGATTATTTTCGGCTTTGGCTATACTCTGTGATAAGAAGTCGTCACAAAGGACAATGTCCACACTGACTAATGCTAAGAACAACATGTGCTCGGTGCCTGCCAAAGTGTAAGCTGACTTCTGATGTCACTGAATGGGGTTACAAATTTTTGTATGTTGACAATAAAAATTAAATTTTTGAGAGATGTGAAGCCAAATGAAAACGGAGAATCAGGGCACATATTTTAAACTACTAAAACAGAATTCTACACCTGTAACTTTCCATTTAAATGCTAATTTTCCCATAGGATTTTTTCATACTTAGTTGCTTTCTTTCTTCCCACCCCACCTACAATGGTATTCATGTTCTAAGCTTCTACTTTAACTCCTACTAGCATAAGCTTTCAATGGGTATTAACTAATTTTTAACTTAAATGAAAACTTTATTGAACCAAGCGTGAAGTTTCCCTAAGAAACATAAAAACAAAAGATTCGAGAATGCACAGAGCAAAAAGTAGCTGAACATCTGGTATTCAAAGCCATAACATGAAGATAACAAAAAGCATTATCGCTATTAAATATCTTCCAATATATCTCTTTAAAGCCTGAGGTCAATCAGTGGTCAACATCTGCCATAGTGAAGAGCTACATGAACTTTTTACCTAAAATATACAAATAATCAAAAGCTTTTTACAGATGCATCTTTCTAACCAGTTTAGTATTTAATGTTTAGCTCCCATGGTAAAATTCATTCCTTCATTTCTAAGGCATATTATTCAATTATACTTTTTTCCTTTATACAAAAGGGATATAATGTTTCCTTCAGAAGTAAGCAGAGAGAAATATCTGATATTTATCACTTTAAATCTTTCATACTATATAGGCGTTGTGGATGGAAATGATAAAAAATGGTCAATAACTCACATGCAATCTTCCACATTCTCTTCCCATTCTACATGTGCCACATGTTGAAGATGGCAATGCCACCGAAATAAGAAACTGACCTCCTTTATTACCAAACATCCAATTAGACTGAGATGTGAGTAAAACATAAGCATATTAACCCACTGAAATTTTCACATTGATTTTTGGGGAGGCAACAATCAGTTTATTCTGACTAACAGTAATTTGTACTTTGAAATAAGATGTTACCTTAACAAATCCTTAAATATATGCCATTAGCTGAGTAACTGGATGTTGGGTGTTGAAGAAAGTTACACATAGTAGAAAGTGGTTGGAGAAAATAAAAGAAGTAGTGTGTGTTGGCTACCATTATAGGAGGGCATCTAACTATTATGAGAAATAAACAGGACAGAATTTGCTCATTTGCAAGGGCATAGATAAAACCAACAAATTTTGGGCCTTGAAGAACTGGAAAATCTGATCACGTCCAGAAACAGGAAGGCATGACATAGAGAAAGTTGTTGAGAAGACAGAATAAGGTGTGAATTTTTGACTTTGATAGAACCTTAGATTGTATCTGTTGGAAAGAGTGTGTGAAATTAAAAATAAAATATACATCTCGTGACTAGAAGAAACAATGCTATAGAGGGTGGTGCAAAGTAGGTTTAAGTTTTAAAACAGACTTTTTTTCTTGTATTTTTATTGTATTATTTTCCATATGAACAACTGCAAACCTACTTTTGCCCCACCCTGTATGTACATTAAACAACTTTTTCTCCTTTGAAGCAAAAGGAAAAAAAAACTTATTTTCAAGTCTCCTTACATCAAAATCAGACCTTTTATTACTTCTCATTAAAGAGAGTGAATAGAAGTTGTATGTTTTGAGCAGTTAAAAGCAACTAGGCCTTCTCTACACTCCTTTTTTCATTCTCTGCTAACTGAATGGCACAGGTGTAACTTTCAAGCTATGCAAAGTACGAAGGTGCCTCACGATAAATTGTGATTGACCTTTGAATGACTACATGGAGCAGACACTCCTCACACTCCTCCCTACGCCACCTTCACAAACTGGTCCAGATCAGATTATGAAATGAGAGACAAATAACCTGGTATTATATTTAGCAACTGTGATGAGATTGTGACAGGAATTAGCATTACTTCCCTGATTAATACACTGTATAACGTTGTTTTTATGTAACGGAATACAAGACAGCAATGTAAATGAATGAATTGATGAATTGTAGGTACATATTATATCAAAGGCAAATCTCAAGAATAATGTTCCTGAGATAGAAATAAATAAATAAACAAAAAACCAAAACAAATTTAAGAAGAAATGTGGGGGGAAAACAAATTCACAATGTTAGTTATCTCTGAGAATGAAGAAGGAAGTAAGAGATGGGGGAGGAAGATCAGACACAATGGTCAAAGATAAAGGTAATGTTTTATGTGTTCAGTTAATTGTTCTTTGTATCATGTTTTTTTTAATATATTCACATGTTTTACAAAAATTATTCATTATTCAATCAATATTTTCCTTAAAAAAACTTAGTAGCAACATTTTTGAAGTTACAAGTATACATCTAAAGGGTAAATAAACAATTTTCCTAATAATATAGAAATATGTATTTAGCACTTTTAAAAAGCCTCCAGTGGCAGCATTAGGCAGGCTTCACAGAATGCTGCATCTCAAATAACCTTGCAGTCAAGATAATGTTCTCTGGACAACTGTTAGACAACTCAGAAAGCGGCTCTAACAATGAAAAAAAATATTAATATCAAATACACATCTGAAGAGTTTGAATAAAATCATTTCTTAACATGTGAACGGGCAATATTTACATTTTCAAATTTATAGTCATTATTTTATATAATAAATGGTTTGAAATATGTATGCATAACTATAAATTAAATATAAAGAGATTATAGCTATGGGTGGTATGATTTTTATACTTTTTTATGTATTACTCAGTACTGATGAATGAGCATAAATGTCATTTTTACAACTACCATAAAGTCACTCTCTTGGACAGTTCTGCTACTCTGAACAGGTTCCAGCTGGTCTTGACTGGGCTTGCTTGGGCTTTTCAATCAGCTGGCAGGTGAGCTGGGTAGCAGGATTAATTTCCTTTGTTCAAAGCTAAGTATGGCTGAAAAAAAAAAGAACATCAATTGAACTATCAGCTGTTAAAGTGTGTATACATGTTTTTGGGACACACTATATTTGCTGAATGAATAAATAAATCTTCGCCTGAGTTACCCCATAAAAAGACCATGCAGCAAAGCATATCTACTAATATTTTATTAGATCATTCAATCCTAGAACATCAAGAATATAGGAGAAAGGGAAATAGACAGCAAAAACAAATACAAGGAATAAATTGCTGGGCCACCCATAGCTTTAAAGAAAATGAAGGTTGATTTCTTATCATGAAGAACACTTCCAGCTTCCATAAAATCATTGTGCCTTGGAAGAGTCCATCAGGTAGAGGAAGGGAAAGAAATTAACCTGCCAGTTTCCCATCTCTGGAATCTCACTGGTTAAGATGTGTGACAAGGATTAATCTTTGCACAGTGCCTCCGAGTCAGCTGCTGAAGAAACCAGATCTTGGGCTCCTGTCCCATGTTTCACCTAAATCTAAATGTGGTGTCAGGAACCAGAGTCTCCATGGGTGTAGTCAGTACAAGAGATACAGATGCTGTTACTGCAGCAGCAAGCAGGAGGGCAAGAGAGTAATTGGAACTGAGCAAATCTGAAGATCCAATACAGAGCAAAAGAATAAAAGAGCATCGCACATAAGCAGAGATGAACACAATCATTCCTATCATCTCCTCCCTTAAGTGAAAGTATGCAGAGCAAATTATAGTTTTTTAAAAAATTGATCTATTAACACATTTAGATCTGCATCTCCACAGAGAATCCTTTTTTTATTGTTTAAAGTATTACAAATAGAATTACTAGTACATATGTCCCTTCCCCCCCCATTGACTTCCCCCCAGCCTCCTCCAAAAAAAGTTGTGTCTACTGGTTATGCTTATATGCATGCATACAAGTCCTTTAGTTGATCTCTTACCTCCCCCGTCTTTTTATGGTTTCTTGTCTTTCTGCACCCAACCCACAACCCTCCCCTGCCTTCCTGCTGAAGTTTGACAGTCTGTTCAATGCTTCTTTGTCTCTGTATCTATTTTTGTTCATCAGTTTATGATTTTCATTATATTCCGCCAATGAGTGAAATCATGTGATATTTATCTTTCTCTGACTGGCTTATTTTGCTTAGCATAATGCTCTCCAGATCCATCCATGCTGTTGCAATGGAAAATTTCCTTCTTTTTAACAGCAGCATAGTATTCCATTGTGTAGATGTACCACAGTTTTCTAATCCACTCATCTGCTCATGGGCACTTAGGCTCTTTCCAAATCTTGGCTATTGTAAATTGTGCTGCTATGAACATAAGGACATTGACACAGGGGCCAAGTTTATTGGTGCTGGGGCTGCCACAGTGGGTGTAGCTGGTTCAGGGGCCGGAATTGGAACAGTGTTTGGCAGTTTGATCATTGGCTATGCCAGGAACCCGTCTCTCAAGCAGCAGCTCTTCTCCTATGCCATTCTGGGCTTTGCCCTGTCTGAGGCCATGGGGCTCTTCTGTTTGATGGTCGCCTTCCTCATCCTCTTCGCCATGTGAGGCTCCGTGGGGTCACCTACCCATCCCTGCTGCTTCGATTCCAGGCCCGGTGCTGGAATGTGCCCATTAAACACCAGAAAAAGAAAAAAAAAAGACTTCCCACCCAGGGAAGTGCCCAAATTCATATCATAGAACTGGTCTCATGAAAACATCACAGCTACCACTCATGGATGCAGACACCTAATTCCACGACCCCAGCAATGCTAGCCATTGGGTGTTCCCACTACACCCCCATTACTGGTGTCTGTTGCTTCTAGAAAGAGGACGCAGCTGCCTCGCCTCACCAGAATGCATTCTGAGTGTTTCCCCATGACTGAGCATGTGTGACTGCTTGTCAGAGCTGGGTTAAGGGCCAGGCCTAGATGAATGAGAGGCCGGGAAGGGGGTTCTTTAGTGGGAGGCACATGCAATCTCATGAGGTTAAAGAGGCTACAAACACTGAATGTGGTGTTGGGGCAGAAAAGGGTCCTGCCTACTATCTCTCACCCAATTACTTCGTAAGTAGGATAAATAAACGAGGAAAAAACTATCTTATTGTTCTGTGGTATCTCTCAAAACACCCAGAACAAAGTACTGCACACAGTAGAATATAAATGATTAGCATTGTAATACAGTTACAAACTTTTAGGAAAAAATAGCAACTCGCATTGAACATTGCCACTGAGAGGGTCTTCAAAAATCCCATTTCAAAGCAGAATCCAAATTTTACCACAATTCCTGTGACTTTATTTACGCCACACTGTCAGCGATAGTACAAGAATCCCGTCTATTTAACTGCACTGCAAATGTGTGACGCAGAGTCTCCTTTCAGCAGCCAGTAAGTCAGTGATGGCGAACCTATGACACGCGTGTCAGAGGTGACACGTGAACTCATTTTTTTGGTTGATTTTTCTTTGTTAAATGGCATTTAAATATATAAAATAAATATCAAAAATGTAAGTCTTTGTTTTACTATGGTTGCAAATATCAAAAAATTTCTATATGTGACACGGCACCAGAGTTAAGTTAGGGTTTTTCAAAATGCTGACACCCTGTGCTCAAATAGTTCACCATCACTGCAGTAAGTGCAGACTGCTTAGAAACACGGAATAATGAAGCTATTAAATGACTCCATAAAGAATATTGTAAACTTATACAGTCCTAGGAAGAAGACGTCCTGTAGCACGCAGAAGCCAACCTTGGATAAGAAATTCTCAGACAGCTGGTCACCCACATCGCTCAGCGGAATGCCTGGTATACAGAAGTTGTAAAATTGGACTCATTTATATTTGAAAGCAAGCATCCTGCCAATGAAGCGATGACAGAGAGATGGAAAACAGATTGTATAGAGGAACATGGTCTTTGAGTAATAAATCAGTTGTTTGATCTCTTTCTACGAGAGCAATTCTGTGAATTAGAGCAGCAATTTTCAACCGGTGTGCCACGGTGTGCTGTAAGAATCTTTAAAACGTGCAATACCTGACTATTTAGTGAGGGGCACTCACCTCTTGTCCCTTAGAATGTCAAATAAAAAAAATGACAATAAGCCAACACAACAATAGCCATCTGATGTGAATGAGTCAAAATTATACCTATTTTTCTGCCAGGTTGGTAAAAAATATATTTTTATGTGTCACAGAATTTTAGTAATTCATTTACATGTGCCATGAGATGAAAAACGGTTGAAAATCGCTGAATAAGAGGATACTTAGCAGATTTTTAAACTTCATTTCACAAAGCCAGGATTAATAAAGATGCATGGCATGGTATTATTTATGTGAACAAGAGAGAAAGCTTTTCTTTTCTGCCAGAAATATTGTAGAGCTCATATTTGAATGAGCTTCACGCAGTGGGCTGTGACCAGACCAGACAGAGAACAATTATATTACTAGCTTGCTTTTTCCCTCTAAGCTTGGATATAAAATTTAATCTAAGCAGAAACAATTTAAAAAAAAACATAAAAGAGATTATCATGGTTTTTCTTTTTACATACATCTGTTCAATAAAATCTTAATATCTGGTGTTTAGTAGTCAGTCAGAAAGAATAAAGAAAGAAAAGTTTTTAAAAGAAAGAACTCTATTCAAAGGTTATACTGTGGTGATGGAATTTTACACACAGCTGTCATAAATTAAAAGATCTGAATACTGTTATGCCTTTAAGATAGTTTTCAGTCCTTCCTTGTATATCTTTTATGGAAATGATTACAAGCCATGCAAAAAGATAATTTCCAAAATATTTATTTAAATATCTGCAATAGGAAAATCCAGTGTCTTTTAGTACTGTTTTCTTCAATCCCAACCAAAATACTAAATTGGAAAAAAATTTGGCATAAATTAAACAAATAATTTGTGTGACTTCCCATAGTTTTCACAAGCCTTATCCTAAAACAATTCCTTTTTTTAAAAGATAGTAATAAATACATTAAGATTATGCAATTTATTAAAAATATTTTTATTGATTTCAGAGAGGAAGGGAGAGGGAGAGATAGAAACATCGATGATGAGAATCATTGATCGGCTGCCTCCTGCACATCCCCTACTGGAGATCAAGCCCACAACCTGGGCATGCCCCTTGACTGGAATCCAACTCGGGACCCTTCAGTCCCCAGGCTGATGCTCTATTCACTGGGCAAAACCAGCTAGGGCAAGATGATGCCATTTTTACAAAAAAATAATCATATTGAATATTCCTTTATGCCCAACATAGCTGAGACTTCTAGCAACCCCTCCATTCCACTCTTTAAGGCTTCTCTTTTAATAGGCATCAATGTTTAGGTAGACACAGCCACTCATCATAAAAGATGCATTTCTCAGGCTCCCTACAAGCACAGTGTGACCACATGACTAAGAATCAAACCTCTGAACAGAGAAGTAGAGGGTTTCAGAGCAGCTTCAGTGCACATTACCGAATGTCCGCCAGTGCATGCCCTTTTGACCCTTTATTGACTTAATCCCTTTCTCATCCTACTGCTTAGAATAAGTCACCATTTTAAACTATGGGGATGAGGCCATTCTCTAGGGATGGCAAAGTGGCAATCTGGAAGGAATCTCATTCCTTGTATTATCTGCTCTAAACTTTTATAGGAGAGAAGTATCAAAATACTTATAGAGTGACCACAAATCCTTTTTGGAACAGACAGAAGCATAAGTCAATAAATTAAAAATCAAATCAAAACTTTGGTATTCAAATGCTCATAAATCTGATAATCAAGCATAGCCCACATACCTCATAGATTATTTATTGTTTTTGAACTTTTATTGCTATTTAGTAAATGTCTGTTACTTGAAATTTGAGGATCTGTACACATAAATCCTAAAAGCCAAATGGGAAATGAGACATTTCCTTAATAGTTCTGAATTCACTTACGTGGTACACTTTTAAACTAGTATTTTGCTTTTTATTTGTTGTTGTTGAATCTCTGTTTTTATTATTGAGGTAAAATTTGCATGCCATAAAATGAAATACTAAATTTTTAAAAGTATACAACTCAGTATAATTAAGTATATTCATAATGTTCAACTTTAACTTCTATTTACCCAAGATATTTCACCATTCCAAAATAACCTCAAAAGAATTAAGCACTCACCCCTATTCCCTCCCCCACCTGCCCCTGACAACCACTGATCCGATTTCTGTTTTGATGGACTTATCTATTCTGGATTACTATGTTTTCTTGGATAACTGGCCCCCTTATCGTTATGTACAACCCCTCTTGATCCCTAATTACCCTTGTTATGAAGTATGCTTTTTCTGAAATTAATAGAGCTACTCCAAATTTCTTTTAACTAATTTTAGCATGGTATATGTTTTTTCAGCTCTGTAGTTTTTCTTTCTTTTTTTAAAAAAACATTTTTTATTTAATTTATTCTTTTTAAAAATCAGGAACAGTATAGATGATTTAGCAAGTAGCAGTTACAGTCTACTAGACACGCACTACAGGCACAGTGAATATACTTCAGAGTTTACTTTGACAACTCTGGCAATTCTTTCACCCTGCTTTCTCTTTATGGTATATTTAATTAAATCCCTTCATGCTCTCAAATCCAAAATCATTAATATGACATGTTTTCATGTCCACTTGGACATTGTCCTATCTAACCTTATGAATGCCTTCTGAGATTAATTCAATTCAATTTTAACAATTTTCTTGAATGTCTATATTTGCACTGGGTGCTGGACAGATACTAATATGGCATATTATCTTCCAGTTAATAGCAAAAAATGCCTTGAGTATACACATTATTGTTTTGCTTGCATTAACTCATTTAATTTTCAAAATTACCTCCATCCTATCTAATAAAAGAGAAACATGGTAATTAGTGTACGACTGCTACCCTTCCCATTGGCTAATAAGGGCGATATGCAAATTAACTGCCAGCCAAGATGGCGGCCGGCAGCCAGGCAGCTGGAAGCGAACATGAGGCTTGCTTGCTTCAGTGAAGGAGGACTCCAACGTTCCCCGCCTGCCTTGCCGGCCTCTGAGCTGGCAGTTTGAAACATTGTAACAAATATAGAAGCTAAACAAAACCCCAGGAACCAACTTTCAGCCGGCCGGGATCTCAGAGCTGGAGATGATACAGTGTTTCAATTATACAACCGAAACAAACCAGATACCTGCTTTCAGCAGCAGAGGCCTTTGCCCAGAATTTTAAAAAAAAAAGAAAAAAAGGAGCGGTTGGGAGCTTCAGTCACCCACCAGCCTGAAAACAGCCCTCAGCCCCTCACCCAGACTGGCCAGGCACCCCAGTGGGGACCCCCACCCTGAAGGGGGTGTGACCAGCTGCAAACAGCCATCATCCCCTCATCCAGGCTGGCCAGGCACCCCAGTGGGGACCCCCACCCTGATCCAGGACACCCTTCAGGGCAAACCAGCCGGCCCCCAGGCCTCTATCCTATATAGTAAAAGGGTAATATGCCTCCCAGCACCGGGATCAGCGGAGCCGCGAGGCCTCCTGGCACCGGATCAGCGTGACAGGGGGCAGCGCCCAAACCCCCTGATCGCCCTGCAGCTCTGTGTGTGACAGGGGGCGGGGCCACAACCTCCCTATCCGCCCTGCTCTGTTCGTGACAGGGGAAGGCGCCCCAACCCCCTG